CAAGACATGTTCACCTTTATCGAAATTCATAAAAATTTGTAGGCAATATAATTTGCTCCCTCGCGAAATAGCCAATTAAAAAATAAAGTCTTTGGTTGGCCCTGAGCTTCTAGCCTTTGTCCAACAATAAAGACAGCTCATTGTCAACTTTCTTTGATAGATATAACAAAGCCTTATTCCTGTTGGTCCTCTTTCTCAATGCACAGTGGATTGCGGGCAGGTTACCGAATATTCTTCCCACACCATCGCACGCCATGTCAATTTTGCTGATCCGATCCTAGTAAAAGCATCTGAACAAAAAAAGCGAAGGCTCAGAAAACTCTTCCGGGTCAAACCATGGGCGGATAGGCTTCGAGGAGGCCCTCGCCCCCCCGTCCCACGCCCCACCTGTCTGAAATTGCCAGAATTGTCATCAGTGATTCTTCTACAACGTTGTTTTTTTGACACAGACGCTTTAAGAGTTATTTTATCCAGAAATGAAAAGTATGTCTAGAGCTAGGAAATATCCTAGCTCCCACTTTTTTCTTAATTTTCTGGATCCACAACCTGCAAAATGCAACATTTTTGCCGGAAAACATGGGTCGCACGTCTCGGAGTTTGATGTGGCATTCTTGGCCTTTTGATTGTGACGTATTTTGTTTCGATCATCGTAGAGTTTTAACATCGGTGATAAGAACGAGTGCGAGAGTCTTCTTGTTTTTCCTCTTCTACTATTAACCGTACATCAAGAATTAGCACGAGATAAAAACTAGATTAATGATAACTTTTTATGAAATTAAATAGTCAGAACTGAATGATAAATTGACAACTTAATGCACTAACAAACCTTCTACTGAAGGCCTATTTTGCTCCAGCAATTAGATATATAGATATAGAATTCAATTATAGCTCCAGAGCGGCATTGAATATGACGTTACAAAATAATACAAACAATTTAAGTACGCTAGAATTTAAAACCATAAAATCCTCTAATAATAAAATCGCCTATATACAATTACTTTAAAAAGCATTCTTTAGATTGTCTGTTTTACCGATGGGGACATGAAAACTTCGGTTCCTTCTCAGACTAAGACTCAGTGCTAGTTCGGCAAAATACTAGTAGTTTGTGTTCGGGATTGTTACTTATTTCTTTAAACAACTTGACCGTTTGAACAGTTTGACCGTTTGCAACTGTGGGTCATCTACTTTCCAAAGTTTGCAGTTTTTAACTCGTTTTTCAAGGACGAGTTTGGGGCTGAAAAAAGTCATCGTACTACATGAAGCCTGAATTACTAATCTTATGAACGTACTCAGTCAGTAGAACCAGTGTAGGGGTAGTATAAACCTGCATACGGAAAATATCGAAAAGGAATTTATCCTACACGCATATGCATGGTCAACAGTAAATCCAAACCAAGCTAATAATTTGAAAGCAATCGGGATAGAAAGAGGAGATCTTAAATTTTTGACGAATAAATTCTTCAAGCTTTTGGAGATCATCAACTTTCAAAACAGCTCCGGCGGGGCTCGCATGCAAGTTACCGTATTCGCCACCCCTAATAACTGGCGACCTCACCTTTGTCGTGAAGTTGTTCAGCTGTTTACAGAGTTTCAATTAAATCGTTTTTTTTTTGTCTTTCTTATGTTTTCCTAGGGCGTTACTAGAAAACCTATGACGAGAAACAAACCTGTACTGCAGCTTTTGACTGGCAGTCCTCTCTTCTGTCTTGAAGAAAAGTTATATTGAATACCAAAGGAATCTGAACTCCGCCCGTTTCTTTCTGAAGTAGCTGCTTCGGTCTCATTAACTGCTGCAGTCTTTTCAGCCAGCAGCGTCAGAACATCAAGTGAACAGACGAAAACGAAAATCAAAATTAGCTTCATTGTGCTAAAATAAAGGGTCTTCTTCGGGGGATAACTGCTCGTTTGCAATGCTGTCTTGAACGCGTGGTAATGAGTCAATTTCTCCCGCATGTATATTATATACTGTTCGTTGTAAGAAAATAACAATGCCGTCAATTTATTTTCGCACATATACATCCACTGAAATCACCGGCGGCAAAATAGTTTGTTAATCCACTTCCGGGATTTGGTTCATTGGGAAAGATAAAGTCTCAAGGCCGGGCGGGCTAGGCTTTGGCCGACTACTGTGAAAGTTCACGGGGACAATACCATATTTTCCCCACAGAGGCTCTGGCTGGGTATATATTCCAATAAATATAGAAATAATATTAAAACATTCTAAGTTCGTGTATGCTTCCCCGAAAAAGGGTCTACTCTGTCCAGCGCCAAATTATTAACTAAACGTCTGCCTCATCTCTTTCCCTTCCCTTTTTTTTTATTAGAAAGGATGTCTAGTCGTGATCAGCTTTTTTATATAATTAGGATAGCACTTTCCTCTCCTTTGTAGTAGTATTTCAATCTCCATGTGTTGTCAATTTTTAGATTAAGCCGAAATGTTATTTCAGTTTGTCCCGTCGAAGGAAATGATTTAGCGAGAGTTGCCCCTCAATTATACAAGCGCCTTCTTTGAAGAAACGCCCCCACTTTTGGCTCGAAATCTTTTCATAATCCTCCTGGTTCTTATTGCAGGAAATACGGTATTTCATCCAAGGATTTGATGTTACGATACCAGTATGCTACGCCAAACGTGACAAAATATCAAAGATGCAACTTTATAATTCAAATCCACCAATTCACTATCAAGATCGATAAAATTAACATCAACTTGCTTGTTGAATGTGTCAAGATGGTATAATTTAATGTCAATTCCCACGTGTTTCATGTCATGTATCAAGAGACACATTTTCTAAATCAAGATGCACGTTTTTTAAATCAAGAAGGGAGACGACAATTTTTGATCAGTTTTGTTTCCGAGAGGGACTGAAACCGAAAAAGCTGCCATGCTCCTTGAAGAATCCCGCCCATTCTTGCCCATTCCCGCATTCCCGCCCTGCCGCATTAGACATGGCAGAGGAAGGAATCGAAGAACTTGTCAGAAGAATCATTCGATCAGCACAAGAAGGAATTAACACATCTCGAGCTAACGTGGCCTCAAACGTGTCAACACCTGACGAAGAACTGAGGCGGCGATTTAACTTGCCACGTAGAAGTGAAACTACGACAAGCAGCACGAATTCGTGCAGCACATCGACAGAAACCTTGACAAGCTTACAGTACACGTATAACCCACAAGAAAATTACGGTCATACAAACCCTAGAAGACAAAGAAGACAAGCTCCATACTACTCAAGAAATCGAGGGCGACCAGTGACGAGACCACAGACTGCGACTGCCCCAAAATATCCTCCAACCTTAAAGGAGGCCATTTTATTGCCAAAACCATCATGGGGTAAGGTCCCCAAATATGCGAAAAAGGCAAATTTACAGGAAAAAGGATTTATCCTCGATTGTTTTCCAATAGAGAGACACTGGTCCGAAAGCGAGCTGAAGGAAAGATTAACCGTGGCATTTGGAGATAAACTACGTGGAGGTGGGGGAGAGAAAGTTGGGTAAGCTCAATGACCCTTATTTAAACTGCTAAAATTTGTCTTTGCATGATCTTCTTTCCAAGGAAATCGCTCAGTCAGATGCAAACTCACTGCTGATGCAGTTCAAGCAGCTCACTTTAAGATAGGGTATATATATCAGAGAGCTTGGGTCTATAATGGGGTATCATTTTCCAGGCAACTGATCAATTGGTTGAAGATTTTAGTTTAGAATAGGGAAACCAAGCATTGGCACTCCAAATATAAAAAAGTCAAACCGCTTTTTGTAATGTAGTAGGCTGCTAAGTATGATGGGATAGGTTGACCATGTGCTTTTGATATCAGTAGCAATGCTACGGTTGCAATGAAATTGGTTGAATGGGATCCCTGCTTACCTTGTTAGCAAATTTTCAAAAACCTCGTAGAGGATTTTAGGAGATGTTTTTTTTTTCTTTTCAGGTTTGATTTTGTGAAAGTGATAGGAAGTAGTCTGTATCCAATAAATCTTCCAATAGGAATGGACTTCACAGCTAAGGTTCTTCTCGGAATTGTAAAGCAAGGGTCAGTGTATCTAAGGAGTAGGAGATCTCTTGAAGTTGTAAGTTATTTTTGTACGTGGATTGTAATTATAATCTGTTGAAAGAAATTAATACTTCAAACTCTAATATAAAAATCTAACTTCTCATTTGCTGCCTTCATGCTAAGAAGTAATGGTGATATCTTCTTAAAATGAATATCCAGCAAATTAATTGGATCTTGTGTGGTTTGGGCAGCCCTCGGCCAAGTATCAGTCAACACAATCGGCTGATACTATCCACCGATACTTGGCCAAGGGGTGCCCAAATTACACAAGAGCATTATTTATTTCGTGCAATTACTTTTTGAAGTTCTGTATAGCCACTTTGTTTCATCAAGCATTGAAG